TATACATTAATATATATTTATACTATGGTCTGTCTGAATACTCGATTCTGATTGGCTGGAAGGTAATAAAACCGTTTAATGCACAGGTAGTTCCTAGTCAGTTGATATATTAATGCACTGTTTTCATCGAAGCACACACACATACGTCACTTGCACACAGAGAGTGGAGATCGCGCTGCGCACAAACACAAACATTCAGGAGCACATAAACTTGCCAATGCTGCCCCGCGACTTTTAGTAATAAAATTTCGCAACTGAATCGCTACGTTATATTTCTATAAACTCACAGCTTCGTTGTTAATGGACAGAGAGAGATGCTGAACAGACGCAGGTACGCATCTCTCTCTCTCTCTCTCTCTCTCTCTCTCTCTCTCTCTCTCTCTCTCTCTCTCTCTCTCTCTCTCTCTCTCTCTCTCTCTCTCTCTCTCTCTCTCTCTCTCTCTCACTCTCTCGATAATTAATTCAAATAGATGGTATAATTCATTAATTAAACTAATGTAATCTTACACACTACTTTATCTCTGTGTCTGTTTCAAGGCGGGTAGATAACCGTAAATTTTACCCTTCCGGTAAAATATTGTGCTGCAAACATAAATAACAACTTTAAGTTGTCAGTGCTGGCAAATGACCATGGTATAAGCGGGATAACCCACGGCTAGCTGTACATTAAACGATTTTAATGCACTTCACGTCTGGCGGTTCTTTGTCTGCACGTCGTGCCTTAAATAGGCTATATTACATTTTCTATTAAACTTCTTACATTTGTATATATCAATACATTGTTATTATTAATTATAAAAATATTGCAACAAACTTCAAATTATGCAGCTGTAATGTAACTACAAAAATTCATTAGCACTCTATTGTTGTAAAACAACGGCATACAATGCAAAACATTCCTGACTGGTTTGTTGTTTGCAACACATTCTGACTGATGCTTTCAGGACTATCAATTCATTTTTGCAGTTTCAACAAAGCCTAATGGATGTAAGCCAGTTATATAACATTATTTTGGGGACAACCATGTGGAATACATCACCAAAACTTAACATTCAACGTTTAAGTTTATAAAAAGTCATAAAAAGTGGATATACAAAATTTAAAAATGTAACATTTTCAGTGGCAATGCAGCACTGGCTCCAAATTGCAAGTGACCGTTCTGTCGTCTGGCCTAAGACTCTCACAGTGAATAGTGGGCCTTTGTCTAATTGTGTGTGTGTGTGTGTGTGTGTTTCTGTGCTAGTTTGCACCACAAAAATTCTTGTACAGTTCAAAAATGGTAAAAAATAATAGCAGTTGAACATGAAATACATGAATAACATGAAATCTACAGTGAATTTGCTGCCAAATGCAGGTTATGCATCTTATTCATTGAATCAATACAATGTCCCTGAATTTTTTTTTTTTTTTTTTACCTTCTGTACAGAATTTTGAGGTGGCAACCAACACCAAGATAAAAGATCTGGTCCAGAGCGTTTCTCAAAAACTCATGTTGTCCTCAGCTGATGGTTTCAGCCTCTTCGTGAAAACTCCCGATAAGGTTTGTACCCAGGCTACCGTGATAGTAATAAGTAACAGCCATGGCTGTAACCTCGTATTCAGAATCTTAAAAACACATATTATTAAATCTCTATCTGATTATTGGGAGACACATGTCCCCCTCTGTTTACGGTGGTCAATGATCCCATGTTCCTTTATTCATTTATTGCAGCATTTTTTTACACATGCTTTTTTCTGTATGTAATTCTGGCGTTCTCTTTCTGTCAGGTTCTGAGTCTGACTGAAACGGACTACTTCTTTGACAGCCTGAGACAGATTACTGATTGGTCCAAGAGAGCTAAAAGAGCGAATCAAGGTGATTTTCAATAGGTGGAAACTATTATGTGTTTTTTCTAGATCATTGATTAAGTAGAACAAGTCAGTCACTGAATTCTAAACTTATTGACATTACTGACACTGTTTTAAACAGCAGGGGGTCCAGTGACTGTACCTTACACTGTTTTCTTTATGAGAAAACTATGGTTCAACATTAGCCCTGGGAGAGATGTGGAGGCAGATCTGATCTTCCATTACCCTCAGGTAATCTGTGTCATCTTGATAGTGTATGGATTCCCATGTAGCTCTCCTGTAAGAACTGTATATTTGTAACTTAGGTAGAAAAACATTTAAAAATTTGGGGTCAATACGATTTTTGTAAACACTTTTATTCAGCAAGGATGCATTAAATTGATCGAAAGAAACAGTAAATACATTTATAATGGTACAAAATATTTCTTTTTCAAATAAATGCTGTTATTTCTATTCATTAAACAAGTTTAATGGTTTCCACAAACATTAAGCAAGCCAACTGTTTTCAACATTGATAATGATAATAAATTATTCTTGAGCACCAAATTTGCATATTAGAATGATTTCTGATTTTTTGTGGCACAAGACTGGAGGAATATTATATTGTATTAATATTTCACAATATTACAATTTTAATAGTATTTTTGATCAAATAAATGCAGTCTTGGTGAGCATGAGACTTTCGAAAACATGAAAAAATCATTCTTTTGAATGGTAGTGTATATTATATTTTTTCCTTTTTCTCACACTATTTAGGAGTTGCCGAAATACTTGAGAGGTTATCACCGTTGTACCAAAGAAGAAATGGTGGCTCTCGCCGCTCTCCTCTTCAGGGTGAAAGTGGACAATGATAAAACGCAGTTTCCCATGATTCCTAGGATGCTGAAAGACCTGGTCCCTAATGACCAGCTTAAAGCCATGTCTGCTGATGAATGGAAGAAGGTCAGTTCCAGTACACTGCTCTTCTAAGCATTGATATTTATGAACTGATGCAGCGGATATGTAATATTATGTTTCTAAAGTGTTTCTTGTACACAAACATTCCTCAACAGCACATTCTTGCTGAGTACAATAAGCAAGCGGGCACGTCTGTGGATCAGGCAATGATTGGCTTTTTAAAGATAGTCTATAAATGGCCTACATTTGGCTGTGCCTTTTTTGATGTGAAAGTAAGCAATTTGAGTCTGCATCACAATAACAATTTTGCTAATATTGCTTTTAAAAACTGTGCATAAGATGATGCTTGATATTACAGCAAACATCAGAGCCCAATTTCCCTGACATTGTGAGGATTGCCATCAGTAAACAGGGCGTCACTATCATTCACCCCAAAACAAAGGTATCATCAAATGATCAAAACGCTTTTAAACAAGTATTTAAGTAAGACCTCAAATGAGTGGTAAAACTGTAAGCTTGAAAGTGAAGTTGCATTCTCTGCTTAAAATATGAATCATCTATCATAACTCTGTCTCCAGCTTTGATTTTGTTGGACTAATTGAATTCCTCTTCTGTTCAAGGACATTCTGGCAGTGCATCCATACAACAAGATTGCAAACTGGTGCAGTGGAAGCACATACTTCCACATGACTGTAGGAAACCTTGTCAAAGGGAACAAAATCCTGTGTGAAACTTCCCTGGTAAGTGACACAGATGTTGCTTACTCCAGTCAAAGAAATGTTCTGCCTATTAACATTTTTCAGATCTCAAAATAACAGAATTCTGTGTTCATTAGGGCTATAAAATAGACGACCTGCTGACTTCCTACGTCAACATGTATCTTAATGAGAGGAAAGGACAAAGAAGAAATCAGCACTTTGACTAAAGATAACAACAGCAGCGAGTTTACTCTCCCTTTCTTTAAGGGCACACAATCACATATAGAAATACTCTGTTATTAATTTATCAAACTGAATATTTGTCTGATTTTATTTTTCAATGTGATATGCTATATCTTGCTAAATGTGTGATGCCAACTACTGATATGCCTATTTTTTCTTAATATAATGGCAGAATGTGTGAAGAAGACTGTAATTTCAGACAGAATGTGTAAAGAAGTTTGTTTACTGGTTCACTAATATTTAATGATATAAATGAATCATCATGGTCTTTGAATCATACTTAGTTTTTGATGTATTTCAAGTTTTTATGTAAAATTGTTAAATAAATGACTATGAGGCATAACTCACAGCATTGTACATGTTTATTATTCATCACAGAGGCCAATGCATTCTGGGTGTTGGTTCAAATATGAAATTACATACGCCTGTTGTTTTGTCATGTTTAAAATCAAACTGTTTCAGCTCTTGAGTCTGACAGAAGACGACTTATTCTCTGGTTAACAGTCATGTTACGCTGTGTTTTGCCCCGGGGCAACAAAGTCTCGAGGGGCAGCATATAATGAGGCTTGGAGACGTCCCAATTAAGACTTGGCACTATATTATTTAGCCTATTCTGGTAGACTAAATAGTGGACGCATTCAGTAAAGTGAACTATATTAGCATATCATTGAAGACTGGCCCAAACAGAAGAAAAAGAGATGATGTGTGTCCTACACAGCTGTGATCTCCCAGAATGAAAGACAGATTATTGCTTTTGCTGTTCGCTCGGGGCTGCACATCTGTCTGAGGATCACATGGTCTTATTTCTGGCCTCTGCTGCTCCAGTGTATGATGCCCCAATAGTCCACAGCAGGGACCCGAGAAACAAGGAGCCCAGTCTGTTATTTTCTGTCCCACTCGCCCTTGTGTTTTCCGCTCAAATTTCTTCTCTCTCATTCTCTGAGTTCCAAGGGGCCTCGCCTGTCTGGCTTTCCACAGTCTGCAATAGATAATCTCTAGTCTTTATTCATAAACTGTCCCGTTAAACGCTCACTTCATCTTCTGTTTATTGATATGGTTGAAGGAGGGGGGTTTCTAACCTAAAGGCACGCTAGTCCCCGTTGCCATGGTACCCCACCGGCTCCACATTGCGACCAAGGCATGCCATTATTCTCCCCCTGTCGAAATGTGCCGCTTCTTCTGACTCGGGTTATTGTGGAGCGCACAAGTGGCCCTCAGAAGAAAATAGCATTGCAAAGAAAGGCTGAGGTCAAGGGTCACATTAGAGCCTTCCCATCGCGAACTGCGTTTTTGTGATCAAATTTGTTGGCTACACAAAAAGAGCCACAGTATCGTATCTCAAATACAGCTCAGCCTTGGAGAGTAGAGTCTCAACTCCATTGAACTCCACTGCCTCTGAACAGAAGCTGCTGGTTTGCTTTTGCTTTTCAGGCAGCTGTAAGAAAGTCCAGGCAACTCTACAACTCTCTCTCTCTCTCTCTCTCTCTCTCTCTCTCTCTCTCTCCTCAACTCCTTCACTACTGCACGGGCTGTTGAGGGATCAACATCTCTGGTGAGTCTCTCATACACTGTATTGTTTTATAGACTTCATACTTTCTCTCAGTGTCTGCAATTTTTTATAGAAACCTTTTTTTTTTTTAATGACTTTTCCTAGTTGAAGTGCAAGCCATTTAAACTTTATATAATTCTGTACTTTTATTTTTGATATCATTTTTATAAAATGACTGTGTTGTTTTCTACACTGTAAAAAATCTCCTTTGTTGCATTAACTCAAATTTTTAGTTTCAATGAACTCAAAATGTTAAGGCAACCAGGTAACTTACTTTACTTTAGTTAACTTAAGTTAAACCAACAATAATTAATTTCAGAGTAGCTTATGCGTGCCATTTAAACAATTTATTTTATGTGCTGTTAATGTTTTTTTATTACTATTTTTATATAATGAATATATTGCATTTTCCCAGTTTAAGTGCATGCCATTTAAACTATTTTTAAATGTTTTTATTTTATTTTATTTTATTTTATCATTTTAATTTATAGAATTACTATATTGCATTTCCCTTGTTTAAATGTATGCCATGATCTAAATGTGCATGTTCATAGTAGGCTTACTCAAGGCATGTTATGAGTTTGTTGGTCTCTGGAAGGTCATTTTAGCACTGCATGATAAAGTAAAAACTACTTGGGCAAGATTAATCAGTCAAAATCACTTCAGGGGATCAGATATAAAAAATTTAATTGGACATGTACAGCATTTGCTTTCATATGGTCATATTTCATGTATTTGTGTAATGTAAAAAAAAGAAAGAAGGGTTTATAGCTGAGTTTCACCTTGAGTTCCTGTAAGCATGTTGGTCCCCACACTGAGTTGCAGTTTAGCTTTAGTTAATCTGCAGTGCGCCTCACGCCTGTGATTACTTCTGCTTCTTTTGTGGATATGGTATAGGAGCATTAGTGTCACATTGCAACCCCAGCTTGACCCTTACTTATTTCTTTATCACAGAAGTGATTTTGCATTGTTGGCAGCATGTGGAGGAGGTGCCTTGTTCTGCAAAGCTTTTGGTTTTGTAGCATGTTTTCCAAGACAACCACAAAGCACTTGGACTAGTGCTACTGGACTATAGTTTTTCATTAGAAATTCTCATATTTTATCTGAGGAAATGTGTTTTTCCTGGACCACACTGTATAGTTTCATACCACACACCAGAAAGCCACCAGATCCATCCATTAACATCTGGATTTCTCTATCGCAATCACGCCTTTTTGACTCCAGGTCAGGACAGCTTTTTGTTTTTGTTTTTTAGTTCTCCACTTTTATCTGTTTAAAGGGTTTGGCATGTTCTGGGACTTGAGAATTTACTCCCCTCAGTTACAAATCAGCATTTTCCTTTAGCAGGATCTTGAGACAATCCTTTGTGCACACCCACTTTTGTGTTTTGTCTGTACTGTTCTGAAAATATTGATAAAGAGTTTCCCTATTATTACAACTCCAGTGAGAGGTTATTGTGAAATGTTTTGGTAGCAGATTTTAGCCACAAAGACAAGCTGTTTGCTCTTAATACAACTGGAAAAAGCTACATTTTAATATCTTCCAGAGAAGTACTCCAAAGGGTGTGGAACTACAATATGTGTGGAAGTACAACATGATTTTTCTTTTCGTTTCAGTAATCATTAATTTCCTTATGTCTTCCATATGTCCACTCTGTGTTTTATCTATTATCTATAAATTCAAACCACTGACCTTGATTGGGGCGAAGTCGTGGCCTAATGGTTAGAGAGTCAGACTGGTAATCCGAAGGTTCGATTCTAAATACCGGCGGCAGGAAATGTCTGAGGTGCCCTAACCCCCAATCGCTCCCCGGGCGGCGCAGCAAAAATGTCTGCCCACTGCTCCGGATGTGTGTCCACGGTTTGTTGTGTGTGTGTGTGTGTGTACTACTCACTGCTCCTAATGTATGTGCACTAAAGCCGGGTACACACTTAATGACTGTAAGGCCGATTATGAATGTAATTTGATATACGACTGATCATGCCCAAACGTGCGAGTCAGAGACAGTTGCATTCAATCAGTTTAAAATCTGCTCCAGTCGTTGGAAACAGTCTGTAAGTGTGTTCAGTCAGTATTAGAATGTTTCAGCTAGTCGTTAAGTGTGTCCCCAGCATAACTTGGATGGGTTAAAGGCAGAGGACAAATTCTGAGTATAGGTTACCTTACATGGCCTTCACATGTCACTTTCACTTTTTTGCATTTGGACTGAGTCAAATAAAAAATTACCCTTATTATCATTTCCTCTTTTAGTTTTTTCTGTTTTTATTTATTTTATTTATTTTTTTATTTGGAAGACCATATTTTACTAAGTAGTAAAGCAGATTTGTTTCTCAGAACAGTTTTTGTTTTTTCAAGAATTTCATTAAAAAGGCCCATTGTGATATAATGTGTTACATTGTGATATCATCATTCCATGTAATATAATTGTGACCTTGCGCGCCCCATTGAATTTTAATTCAGAAATTAAAAACATAATTGAAGATGTGTATTAAGCTATTGTAAGTCATTGTATGCATGACATAATTCTTTTAAGTAGTTCCTGTCAAAAAACGTCATTCATCCTTTAACTATAAATGTATTGAAACATCAACCTTATTATCCAATATTCATACTCTCTAAGAGTTTTTGTCAGCTATAGCTCAAGTAGTAACCTATACTTTGAACCTTTCTTAAAAAGGTCTTCATCTCATCCCTGCAGATGCTTCATTTGGCCTGATTATTAATAGAGCAACTGTTTGAGTTTGCTCACTGAATGTGAGGCAGGCTGCCCTGGGCACCCGCCAATGATTTGACAAACAAGAATGCCATGAGGACAGCTGGGTCAGACTGTAAGCAGATAGCTGGGAGTGACTCTGGGGTCTCGTGACAAAGGTGTGGCCACCGGATGCACTACAACACCTTCATGCAGTGTGTGTGGAGGTGCAGTGAGCAGTCAACTGCCTTGCAGGGACATCTGCTCAGACTCCCGAGACACGACACATACAGTATATCTATAGCTGAGGTGCTGCCAAACAGCCAGACAGCTGTAACACTCCTTCCCTCACTACTCGAATTAGTGGCGGATCAATACTTACTGCGGCTGGAATAAAAAGTGTTACTTGGTGCATCAGTGCTGTGTCCTTTGCTCCATTTTTGTAAACATGTTTTGACCACAGGGGAGTTTGGAAACATATTCCCAAAGGCAGATGTAAACTTGCTCTTTTCTTTTCTCAGATTTTAATTTCTGAGACTATTCTTATTTTTTTTTATCTTTTATTTCTTATAGCAAAAAATTAAATGCGCCATAGGTTTATTTAGATGTGTGATGGAAGTGTTTGCCAAACATGTATATTTTTGTTGATCTCTCAGTTTTTGATGTTTTTTGTTGAAATCTGTTCCCTACATGGAAATTAGGCAGTTAGTCAACTAACTCTATAAGAGGCACCATCTCAGCTGCTCAGATAAAGAAATAAATTAATTCATAATAATTATAATAATAACGTTTCATTTTTTATTTAGAAATGGTGAGAAATGTTATTTTATTCGCTGGTGCAGTTTATACAATTTTGGAATGTGCCACTAGAGCACAAGACATTATTTATTTAATTAGATAAGGTTTATTTGATTTTATATTGAACTATCTAATAATATTATTTGAACTACTGTTCAAAATGCTTTTGAAAGGAGCTTCACCAAGGCTGCATGTATTTGATTAAGAATGCACTAAAATGTAATAAAAAAGGTAAAATTTTGAATTATTACAATTAAAAATAACGGTTTTCTATTTTAATGTATGTTTTAAATTGTAATGTATTCATGTAATGACGAAGCAGAATTTTCAGCATCACTCCAGTCTTCAGTGTCACATGATCCTTCAGAAATCATTCTAATATGCTGATTTGATGCTTAAGAATGCATTTATGCATTGATTCTAATTATGAAAACAGTTGTACTGCTTAATATTTTGTGGAAACTGTCATAGTTTTTCAGGATTCTTTGATGTATGGACAGTTTAAAAGAACATAATTTATTTGGAAACAAAATGGTTTGTAACAGTGTAGAACTCTTTACTGTCACAACTAAATGCATCTTGGCTGAGTAAAAATGTTTTTTTCCATATATAAATTCATAGTGGCCACGAACTTTGGACCATAGTGTATATATACTCAGCAAAAAAAAGACCCTTTTTTTCTGAATACTGTTCTTTAAAGATAATTTAATAGAAATCCAAATAAGCATTACAGATTTGTATGGGGAGTGTTTAAACAATATGTTTTATGCTTGTTCAGTGAGCTGCGAACAATTATTGTACATGTACCTGTGGAGAAGTCCTTAAGACTAACAGTTTACAGCAGTTGAAAGTGGGCGGACGTTTGGTTTTATTTATTTATTTATTTATTTTTTGCCGAGTATATATAATTTAATATAATACATTCTAAATGTTTATATTTACTTATTCAGTTTATATATATATATATATATATATATATATATATATATACTTAACTTAACAGGATTTTTCAAGTTAAAACACAGAACACTGGCTCGGACTACACACACACAAGGAAAAATATATATATATATGTACTGTATACGTATAATTCAGTTTAATATTTATCTAAATTCCTACATTTAAATATAAAACGTACATGATTATTTTATACAAGTGAATTAAAACTAAAGAGAATTTATAATAAAAAAATATATATATCTTTCTTTTCCTTTTTTTTGCAGTTACAAAGATGGAGTTCCCCCTTCCAGAAGTCCCCACCTTGCTGCCCAATCGATCCATGGAGAGCTGTCCACCTGTGGATAATACAGTGGAGAATATGATCTTTGGATTCTACTACATCATAGTTTTCCTTCTTGCGCTGAACGGCAATAGCCTTGCCCTGTGGATCTTCGCCCGCCAGAGAGCCAACTCTTCTCCAGCCAATGTCTTCCTGCTCCATCTCGCTGTGGCTGACCTCTTTTACATCTTCGTTTTACCTCTCAGGGCCACTTATCATTTAACGGGGGGACATTGGCCGTTTGGTGAAATCCCCTGCCGTCTCGCAGGCTTCTTCTTTTATGTCAACATGTATGCCAGTTTGTACTTCCTGGCCTGTGTTGCAGGCGATAGATACCTTGCAGTGGTACACGCCGTACGCTCCCTCAAGGTCAGGCGCCCTCGCTACGCTCACATTGCCAGTTTTGTGCTTTGGGCTTTGGTGATAGTGTCTATGGCGCCCCTACTGGTCACCAAGCAGACCGCAGAAGTCAATGGCTCCACCGTATGCTTGCAGCTGTACAGAGAAAAGGCCTCACACCGTGCTCTCGTCTCCCTCGCCGTAGCCTTCATGCCGCCTTTCATTGCCACCCTTTCTTGCTACCTGCTGATAGTGAACAGTCTGCGAAAAGGTTCGAGGCTGGAGCCGGCGTTGAAACTCCGAGCTCTACGCACCATCGGTCTGGTCATGCTCATCTACATAGTGTGCTTTTTGCCCTATCACTTAAGCCGTGCAACCTTTATCTTGGGTCACGGACACCCAGACCTATCCTGCCAAATCAAAAGAGGGCTAGCCCTTGCTAACCGTCTTACTTCCTCTCTAACCTGCCTGAACGGGGCTTTGGATCCACTGGTGTACCTGTTTGCGGCTGAGAAGTTCAGGGGGAGCGTTCGCAGGCTTTTCTGCAGAGACAAATCAGGGGGGTCCGGCGCTACAAGTGGGGACCTGAAAGGGACACATGAGAGCTCTGTAAGCGCAAAGTCTGAGTTCTGAGCGAGCCAAATGAATGTTTTTTCATCAGTTTAAGTGATTCGGCCCACACTTCCTGATCGTGTATGGTCAATTAAAGATCAGGAACTTGCAAACAGCCTTAGGCATCACCAAGCATGTGATTTGGACATGTTAAAGTGAAAGTAATTTGGGACGGTACCACTGTTCTGTTTAAGTCAGTTGTCAGATCACAACTGTTGACATAAGATTCCATCAAGGCTCGTGAAGACATATGTATAAGACTGTGTACTGCCTTTTAAAAATTAATGTTGTCTTTATTAGCATATTACCTGTTTGCTAATGACATGCTTTGACTCGTTCTTTGTAAACTGTCAGCACTTCCTTAGTGGACACTCTTAATGAAATCAGTGTGAAGCTAATGAATTTCATATTTGGTACCAAACAATACTTATAATCATTGTTTTAATGGTCCTCAGGGGGGTTTTCTGGTTATAGCACGTCTCAAGCTGTGGTAAGAATGTGTGAAGGGTAACAAACCAGTGAGGAGTCGAAATGAATACTACTATTTACATTCCTTGACGGCTATTTGTTATTTAGACTATTTAGATGCATGTGCACTTCACACTAGTCAATTAATAACTTAATGTACCTTTTACTGTTTAGGTATATAATTACAGATTTTTTTGATGGCATGAAATACTGGTTTTGTTTTCACTTGTTCAAATGAAGTTGTTGTATGCATCCGTATTTATATGATTTTAATTACTGTAACCAATTGCTATATATATTTTTTGTATTTTTGTGATTATTATACTTACATCATTAATGTGTCTGTATTCCTCAAGTAAGATCCATCCATGAATCAATTTGTAATAAGTCAACTTAATAAATGTAAATAAATGTAACCTCAAATGGTTATTGATTCTTCTTTTTATATAGCCATCAGGTGCATTTTGGTGCTTACAATTACAATACCCCTCCCCCCATTCTCAACTCCACTATCACCAAAGAGACAAAGAACTTGTCACATCTCATACATCTCTCATTAGTCTTTATAACACTTGACTTGTGAGTATCATCTCATGTGACAGCTGCTAATGACAATAAGCAGAATCTTGTGAAAACGTCCTTTATGTACAGTATATGCATCGCACATGCTCTGTCCCACCACACAGTGGCCGTCACTGCTGAGCTCTTATTGACAGAAGAACATAACCGCATTCTTTATAGCTGTGTGCATGTGAGAAAGATGCAAGATGGAAACCACCAGCCTGAAGTGACTGTGGCACTATTCAGGTTCTCTTTTCACATCATGTGACTCAAACTGTGAGCTGTCAGCAGATTATTTTCTCTCTCGGTGTCTGACTCGCTTTCTGTCTCTCTGTCTTTGCTTCTCTTTCCTCATATTTGTGCAAGGTTTCCTGTCCATTAACGTAACAAGGCAGCTTCGCTGAGTGAGTGAGTGAGTGAGAGAGAGAGAGAGAGAGAGAGAGAGAGAGAGAGAGAGAGAGAGAGAGAGAGAGAGAGAGTGAGAAAGAGAGGAAGAGGACAGTAATGTGTATGCAGTGTATATGGATTACTCATAAGTTCCAGTACGATCCTCAAAAACATAACAAAAACAAAAACAGTAAACATTTCTTTTGAAAACTTTCTCTCAAAAGATGTAGAAAGTTTGATACCTGGCAGTATGACCACAAAACAAAGCAAAACACAAAAACAAAATAAAACAAAAACAGTAATAATTTCACTATAAAACTTTCTTTCAAAAGAAGTAGAAAGTTTGAAACCTGGAAGTATGATCACAAAAAAAACACTTCTGAACCGTTGCAAATTTATGCTATATGCAAAATTTAAGTTGTTACTCACTGATAATCTGTTTCCCCATGCAGTTCTCAAACCTCATTCAAGGCTATGTATATTCAAACATTGCAAGTCAATGATGCCGTATGTCATTTTATTCTCATGTATCTTGCATTTGCATGGAATAGTGCAGCTTGAACATCTTGCCCAATGTCTCCCTTTTTGTCCAAAGTAAGGATTTGGAACAATAAGTTTTCATTTTGGAAGAACTGTCCCTTTAAATACATCTAGAGTGACTGTACATGGTTATATTAAAAAGTATATTTGCTAAAAAGATTAGCAAATATTGTGCCTTTAGGGCCACAGCAGCATTTTACATACCCTTAATATAACTGAAGATGAGACAAGTGTGCTGCACAAGTCCCTTCCCTTTCAGGACCAGTGGTTTGGTCAAAAAGATAAACTCATAATAAGAGCCTTTTACACTAATGTTTATCTACATTTCTCTACTTTGCATAATGGCCATTAACACTTGCATGGGTAGTCGTCCTCATAGTTTTGGTTAGCAGGGTTAATCATTGATATTATATGAAAGAACGCACTGTTGAAAACTCCTACAATACCACACACACCTTTTTCATCTCTTTTTCGGTAAAAAAAGAGGTGTTGGAGCCATGTGAACGTGTGAGCAAGCCTTCTGTTCGGCCTCCTCTCTTGCTCACTCTCTCTGAGTTTTTAGACTCTGTGTGCACAGAATGAGGAAGTTCACCCTTGTGTTTGTGGCAGCTTCCTTTTTGCAGCTTTCGCCCCTCTAACAGGAAGAGAGAGAAGCAGCGAGCCTAGAGCCAGACAGAGCAGGAGCGGCTATCAGTTGTAACAACGAAATGAAACAGACCGTGAGACTCTGAAGCTGGCCTCATGTTGATCTCCTCTTGAAAACTGCCTGGGCCAGAATAACCTGGGTGTCTCCAGACAGAGGAAGGGAGAAGTATTTGGAAAGGATGTTTTCCCACCAGCCATGGTACCATGGCAATATCACTCGGTCTACAGCAGAGGACCTCCTCTCCAAAGCAGGCAAGGATGGGAGCTTCCTCCTGCGGGACAGCGAATCCATACAGGGAGCTTATGCCCTCTGTGTTCTGTGAGTATTGCTGCTACCTCGTCTCAGGTGGAAGGGCACACATGTTGCCCCTAATATTAGATGAAACATGAACGTTCGAGTGCTTTTGAGTTGGAATGTGGTTTAAATGTGACATTTGCAGTGTGTTTGACAATTAATTAGCATGAGGTGAAATGTGAGTCTGTCATAAATATAAAACATGCTCGGTTTTTGTGGTACTGGCCCTGCAACCTTATTATATGTATATATATAGCCTACATGATGGTTTTTGAAAATGTATGTCATTGTTGGAATCAGTTTACAAATTAGAGGCCTATTTGTTTGCAAACTGATCTCAGTTTCCCTGCAAATTGTTAAGTATGTGTGGTTCTATTGAAGTGTTATTTGTGAATGCAATGACTTATAAGTCCAATATGATTCCTTGTATCGTGAATTATTAACAAACAGTGTTGACTGAGACTCAAGGAAGTCGGCGAGGGGTTTCCCATTATTACAGCTTTCAGCAAAATGGCCATTTTCACTTTTTATGTTTGAATTGTGACATTTTACATGCAATTTGTTTTAATATACATTATGTTTTTATTCTTCTCAATCTTTTGCAGGTACCAGAACTGTGTGTATACCTACAGAATATTACCAAATGAGGACAAAAAACTATCAGTCCAGGTAAAAAAAAAAAAATCCCAAATTTGTAATTGTGGTTACTGACCACTGTTGAGAACATTTTGCATTGGTTTCTTTGGGTTGAAGCTTCCTGCAATGGCTCTGCTTTCATATTCGCACAGACAGGTGTGCTGGGGGACTATTTTGAGATGTGCACCGAGACACTTCTGCTTGTGACTTCAAGTATTCGAAAGTCACCAGAATGGTGTTTTCTTTTTGTCACTTTAGTAAAAGTAAAGCTTTTGGTGGACCCTGGACACACTAATCAGCCATAAAATCTCATTCATTAGTACAAAATATCAAACATTGGCATCTGCAAACATCTAGAGATTTCCTTCAAACTAACTCTTCACATATTGTTCCACTCAATTTCACAGGTGAACCACAAGTGTAGTTCGTCACATTATCTATGTTCTGGAACAGGAACATGTTCAATGATCTCCATTTTGAACTATATATTGTTTATTTAATTATTAAATATATTGGTTAGTAATTCGGAACCTTTTCTGTACATTGTTTTGCTCAAGAAAAGTGTTTGTTCTTTATTGTGCAATATTTTTGTATCCATTGTAATGAAATTCGTGGATTTTTTTGGTTCACACACATATGCATTATTCATTTGTTTTAATAATTTGAAACTGTCTACAACACTGTTTATTTTCCTGTTGCACTAAAATGGTGGTCAAGTGTAAAAAATAATACTATAGAACCACGATGAGACAAAAAGTAGAGGCAAAGATACTCAATCATCTGCTAATTACGTGTTGCGCTCATAGTCTGCTGGTCACTTGACAAAACACTGTCCATTTTTATGACTAGTTGCACAGAACATCTGGCCTCCTACAAGCCATTTACTATCTTGTACTTGGTAATGAATGTGTGACCTTGTGACAGTTGGTTCTTCAGCTGCCAAAGACTCTCTGAGACCGTTGTGTGGGCGTCTTGTCTGTCAAGCTAGTATCTATTATGTCCTCTGCATTAAAGCAAGCATTGGTCTTCCAGCGTGACAGTGCAGCTGCAAAACCAATTGGTGGTTTTATTCGAGTTGTACAAAACTCTTATTCTCGTGACAAACAAAATAATGAAAGCAAATCGGGTGACCTTTGCTTATAATTTGCATTGTTCTCTCTTGGCGTTACATTTCAAAGTAACCTGCACTCAAGGGACGGGGCTAAACCAAAAACTGTTGTACAATGCCCTTCAATGTCTCTCTACCACAGTTCTTCCTCTTTCAAGCCTGCGTTGCAGCACAGCCTCAGTTTTAAATTATCCATCAGCGTGGGTGTTAAGCAAGCCACAGGGTTCCTCTTGCACCCCGCCTTGAATGGAAAGTTTAAAAAAAATAATGTGTTCATGCCATTTAATTTAATTAGATTTGCAAATTTCAATCAAAGTTCATAGTTTGTGCTGACCTTAAACCACTGAGAATTTGTTTTTTATTCAAAGATTACGCTTGCTTCCTATTGGCAGTCGGACATCTTGTGATTAGCCATGCTAAGATGCATGACACATGTTGAGATGATTTTGTGCGCAATGCTAAAATGCTGCCATTTTCCTTAATTTTCTCCATATATCCAAAAGTATAAGACTGTTTTATTTTGAAATTAGGGGCTGTGGATTTGATCTAACATTAGTAGCATTTTGGTTGTTGACAGAGGACAAAGTACTGTACACAGTATGTGTGCTGAATTTTTCTCAATATCGTGTGCTTTTCCACATCATATACACATCAAGTTTTTAAAATAAATATCTGGTTAGAATTTGTTCTTACTTTGTATAGTATTGCATATAATTGGGTCAAAACATTTGCTGAGCATCAAGACGTAAGTCAGACCAGGTGACTAAGAGCTTATACTCCAAAGTCCTTTGGAAAAAGTGGCTTATAAACCCTACTTGGCTCCGACTGAGCACTTTTTAAAGGAAACCATGCAAAATGAAGAAATGCAATGTACCGCTATTGGTTTCGGACAAAGGAAGAACAACTAAGAGAGTTACTGCTGGGAGTGCTGAACATGTTTATGCAAATCATGATTTTGTATATCGTAAAATGCCACAAATCTTGAACATTTGAACACATTCTTCAGAATTTTTCTTGTTAATCTGGATACTTTGCTTTGTAGGCATCAGAAGGTGTGCCTATTCGGTTCTTCACTCTGCTGCCAGACCTGGTGGAGGCATATTATAAAGAGAACATGGGTCTGGTCACACACCTTCAGTATGCTGTGCAGAAGGAGAAGGAGGAGGAGCCGGAGGAGGAACCAGGTAAGTCAATTACAATAAGCTT